TTACCAAAAAAGAGAGATCCTTTTCCTTAAAATATTCGATTTGTCTAGTGCTCTGGAATGCTTGCTACACCGTCAACTATTTGACAGGGAAACATGCTTACAACGTGAGGGCTGCATTACTAATTATACAGGAATGTGAAATTAAATGACGTTGACAGAAGAGTGTCCTAGTTAATGGGACAATAAAATTCCATTTCAAAATGCGTTTGAAGTCCACATCCGAGAAAGGCAACTCCTGTCAATCAGGGTACACCTGTATCAAAATCACAAGAGCACGAACACGAGAGGCAGGTCAGGCAACCAGCCCGTTTAGTTTGGGTTTTCAACCAGGCGGTGATACCGCAGAGGGCCAGGCGGCTGCAGGAAAGGGCAGGGCGTGTTTTTCCTGGTGGCTGTTTCCCAAGCGCCCGTGCTGCTCCCATCACGAGAACGTGTCCACAGGAAAAAGGCGCAAATCCGCCTTTGTTCTTCCCGGCATGTAGTCACACTCCACAGTGAAAGGAGAGTGGTTGAGTGTCTGTTTTGCTTTGATTACAGAGTCGGTTCCCAGCTACACCACCAAAGTCTCGTTCAGCCTGCAGCTCTGACACCTCCCCCGGAAGCCTGCAGCTCCTCCCTGCCCCTGCCAAGGGGCCGTCCATCTCCGTGTTGTGGGTCCCGTCCCAGAGGGGTGACGGCGTGTACTTAGGCTCGAAGGCCAGAAACCGCGGTCATAAATGTTTGGAAAAATGATTTTCAAATTTCAAATCGATGAACATGTCTCTCTGTGAACTGGGGAATTGATCAGTGGGTTCATATGTTGATATGTAAAGGTTCATTTGCATACACTTGTTTCCAAGTAATGCGCATTTAATATTTTAGAAAATGTATTCTTTTTTAAGATGATAACTTAGACCAAATTCTGGAGTGGATTGCACAGTTTTCAGGAATCAAGAATAAAGGGCTTGTGAAGAGTGTTTCTATTGGACTAGTCAGATGAGAGTTTATTTTGTTGTTTTTTTTTGTAAGGAGTTTTAATGCATTATTTCTTTTACTGAGAATAATTGTCTTTAGGTTTATACCAACGGCTATTTCCATGTGTTTTAAATTAAATCTTGCAAGGGTGGGCTCTCAGGAGAGACTTTGGCCTTGAAGGGAGGGACAAGGGCGGGGTGCCCGCCCTTGCGTCGGGCACAGGATGCTCGGGTGGTGTGCGGGCACTCCTTGTGGGGAGGGGATTCTGGCTGGGCGCGGAAGCCTTGCGCGGCCTGCATGATGGTCATCGTGCCCTGAGCGGGCCCCTCAGGGAGCCCCTGCTAAGGTGGCCATGCAGTGTGGTGAGCAGGACTAATCCACGTTGGTGAGGGGTCCCTGGCAAGCCGTCCTCGAGGGTTGCCGCGGGAGAGGCTGCCCACGGCCGAGCTGCCGTGCCCACACCCAGAGCGCGCTCACGAGACTGTTTAGCATGGTTAAGGGTGGGGTTCCGTACGGGACTTTGGACGCTCGTGTCACATCATGTGGTTTGGAGAGATTGTACTGTCTGTCCGTCCACCTTTGTACCGCTGTCTCGGGCTCAGTAAAACAGGACTGGGTGTGGAAGATAAGCTTGAACAAGTGGTTTGTACGTGAATCAGCTCCTCTGTGCTCTGCCCAGTGCTGCCCAGTGGAACTTCCTGTGGGGACGGCAACTCCTGTGTCTGTGTCCCACAGTGGGACCGCCGGGCCAGGTGCTCCTTGGGCACTTGAATGGCGACTGGTGCGAAAAAAGAGCTAAATATTTAATTAAATTTAAATAGCCAGAGGGGGCTACCCTATTGGACAGCTTGGGTCTAGCCAGGTGGGTTCTTTGGAAGTTAATCTGGGCTAAAAATGAAGGGTGACTTTTATTTTCTCTTATCTGAAGAATCAGTCTGTCCCCAGGGGCATGCATTTAACAAGGGTTACTCCTAACACCCCAGTATCTTGTCTTGAGGGGCCTAATCATAATTCCAAATATTTTATCCTCAGCATCTGTAAAACAGGCAGAGCAGTCTAAAACCACCATCGGGGATTGTTTCAACTTAAAGACAAACTCTGAGAAGTAGGTTTAAGAGATGAGAAGAATAGGAAGATGAGAAATCACTGTAATTGACCCTCGAAAGAAACAATTGTATGTTTCTTTTTCACTCTTTAACAATGTAATTCAAATTTATAGTTGTACCACTTGAATGATTTTGGTGTTTTATTTCATGGCAAGGTTATGTTATCTATAGTCAAATAGAAATATATCTGAACAGGGGGAGAGAAATGGGACTTTCGTACCAATGGACTGTCCAGAACTTATGTAAATTTTACTTCAATAAAACCAGTCTTTTGTGCAAAAATCTTGTCTTGGTGTTCATATAAATAAATAAGCCCTGGCTGGTGTGGCTAAGTGGATTGATTGCTGGCCTGTGAACCAAAGGGTCACTGGTACTGATTCCCAGTGAGGGCACACACCTCAGTTGTGGGCCAGGCCCCCCAGTAGGGGGCGTGCAAGAGGCTACCACACACTGATGTTTCTCTCTTCCTCCCTTCCCCTCTCTAAAAATAAATTAATAAAATGTTAAAAAAATAAAAAATACTGCATCGATATATACTTATTTCATGTTACATAACACCCCAAACAAATATATCATTGAATACAATGCTCGTTAGAGATACTATTTAATTTATTCATATCCATGAAAATACAGATTCTAAAGTAGAACATGCATCTTAATGAAAATATCACAGAGATCTGAACACTTTGCACGATGCATGTATTAACGACCCAGCATGTCTTCCCCACCTCGAGTCTGCCCACCTCACAGGTCGCTCCGTGTCCGGCTGTTTGGTGGCTGCTGGGACCCACTTGCTTCCTTGCCTGCTTGTTTCTCAGGCGCGTGCTTGTATCTCTTGGGCCCCACTGTTGCACCTGGAGTCCCTGCGGGGCGCGCAGTATGGGTGTGCGGATGGGGCGCGGACGTTTGAGAATGAATAGCGGGTCTGAAGATGTCACCCGCATGGTTCTGTCGGGTCCCCAGTAATGATCTCTGTGCTGAGGTGTACAGGCACTATTTCTGACATTTCCTTGGAAGTGTAAGCTTACAGCATAAAAATTACACTTTCTAGAAATGCTGGTTGAAGACATTGAAATATCACCTCATAGCCACGGGTGTCGCTGTTACATATATTTATAAAAACTGAAAGCAAGTGTTGGCAAGGAGGTGGAGAGTTGGAACCCTCATGCACTGTCGGTGGGGATGCAAAATGCAGCGTCTGGCGTGGAAAACTGGTGGTTCCTCAAAAAATTAAACATGCAAATACCATAGGATTCGGAAATGTCGCTTCTGAGTATACAGGGCTGGGCAAAAGTGAGTTTATCTTGTGAGTACATGACACATGGAGTTTAATCTTATATGATTATTTATTAATTATTGCATCATTTTTCATACGAACAAGAGTAAACCTTCTTGTGCCCCATCCTGTGTGTCCAAAAGTCGAAAGCAGGGTGGCAAAGAGATGTTTCTACCCCGTGTTCATAGCGGCACTGCTCACAAGCTGAGAGGTGGAAGCAACCCAAGTATCTACCGGTGGATGAACAAATAAGCAAAAGGTGGTGCGTACATGTGATGGAATATTATTCAGCCTTGAAAAGGAAGGGAATTCTGACGCCTGCTACAGCGCGGATGAGCCTTGAGGACATTCGGCTGGGTGAAGTCAGTCAGATACAAGAAGGTGAATGCAATCCAAGTACACGAGGCATCTAGAGTAGTTGGAGGTGCAGAGACTGAAGGAGGAAGGGTGGTCAGCAGGGCCTGGGGGAGGGAGAATTGGGGGGTTGTTCACTTGGTACAGGCTTTCAGTTGTGGAAAATGAAAAGTTCTAGAGATGGTTCCAGAGAGCACGGCCATGGCGCAGGCAGGGGCGGGTCTGGCCACTCTGTGCGTGCAGGAGCAGTGGAGTTGGCAGGGAGGGGCAGGTGGCAGAAGAAGGGCGGGGGTGGAGGGTGTGCGGGGCGGGGGGAGGGAAAAGAAGTGTTCGCAGTAAACGACCATTGCTTTAATTTTAGCCACCTAAACTGAAGGTGTCCTATTTCCAGGTAAAACAGACATGAGAATGAGTCTGAAAATTATTCTCATGAATCCAAACAGAAACCTTTTTAAAAAGCTCCTTGGCTCCAGAAGCCTGGCGAGAATCCGTGCACAGGGGCCTGCCCTTGGCCGAGCGGACCTGGGGTCCCTGGGGTTTCTATGTCAATGAAGCCTGTCCATGAAACACTGAGCACGCACTCCAAGTGTGTGTGGGTTTATACAGTATAACACCCTCCTACTGATGGATCAACATATGTTATAATAAAACATGCGGCAAGAAACGGCGAGGTATAGGTAAGGAAGAGTTAAATGGAGTTTTAAGGCTTTCTCCACCACCTCATGGCTGGTCCTCCATCAACCCCCAGCTGCACGCACCCGCACCCGCCATGGAGGAAACTGCTGAGAACGCAGCCCAAGGCTCCTCCTGCCCAGAAATGCTTCCACGGCCGAGGGCTGGGTGAGAGTTTTAGGTGAGAAGCACCACCCCCCCCGGGTTTCCTGAGACTTCCAAATGGTTCTGTGAGCCACAGACACCCAGTTCTCAGTCCTCCAGAGAATGAGTGACATGTCAGCACCGTTTTTTTTAAATGAAATTTAATTTTGGGAAACAATATTAGGTGCCCCAAGAATCTTTTTTTTAAAGATTTTATTTATTTATTTATTTTTAGCGAGGGAAGGGAGGGAGAAAGAAAGAGAGAGAGAGAAACATCAATGTGCGGTTGCTGGGGGCCGTGGCCTGCAACCCAGGTATGTGGCCTGACTGGGAATCGAACCTGTGACGTTTTGGTTCACAGCCTGCGCTCAATCCACTGAGCTACGCCAGCCTGGGCTGCTTTTTTTTTTTTTTAAAGAGGTGAAATGAACCCTTAAAACTCACATTAACTTAATCATTTTAGAGTGGACAATTCAGTGGCATTCAGTGCCTTCACGAGTTGTGCAGCCACCCCTTCTGTGTCCTTCCCAAATGTTTTTGCCACTGCTGCCCCCGCAGGAAAACCCCAGGCGGATGACGCGGCGGCTTCTACTCCCCCTCTGCTCCAGCCGCCGGTAGCCACCCGTCTCCTTCCTGTCTCTGAATTTACCTGTTCCGAACATTTCACACCCGTGGGATCACACAATATATGACTTGGCGTGTCTGACTTTTTAAACTTAGCCCAACATGTTTGAAATCCATGTAGTGGTTTTTAAGTAAACCGCCACAGGACCACGATCAAGACTGAGATTGAGATTAAGATTGCGATTGAAATGATTGAACAGCAACAGATCTTTGACTTACAGCAACGGATACTTGAAATATCTCGACCAGAATCTGAACAGCGGGGCGTGTGATTCTGGCCCTCGGGGGGGCATGAATTCTCAGCGGGGGAGACGTGGATTACACTGTCCGACCTGTAGGTGGTGTTCGCTGGGGGCTCCGAAAACCAGGGGCTGGGGAACACCTTCCCTTCCTTCACCCTGGCGGTCCCTGCGTCCTCCTGGGTGCTGTTCCTCGCGGGAGAAGGCTGATAGGCGGGCATCCCGCCATTCGGGGGGCTTATTTTGGGACGTGGCGGGGACATGGGTGGCCGTTTGGCCAGACCTAACCCGCTCTGAGCACAGGAGCCCTGCAGACACGCCTCACAGTTGTTCGCGTCGTGCGGCCCTTCGAGAACGGTGTCCTTGAGGGTAGGGATCTCCTCCGCTGACGTGTGCCCTTCCCTGTAGCAGCTCCTGAGGATTCGGAGCACCAGGTTGTTCAGGATCCTCGACGTGTTCTCCTCCGTGAACTCGGGAACCTCAAACGGAGGCTGAGAGCACTTCTTGCACCTCTGGGCGAAGATCCTCATCCTCACCTGGCCCTTGGACTCCATCTTGCTCCAGTGCATGTGGAAGAGGACACACACGTGGGCAGAGGCCCAGCTGCGAGAGCACAAGGAGCACCTGAACCTGTGGAGACAGAAAACGAGACCCCCAGCCCCGCTCAGGGTGGCCAAACTGCGGGCTGTGCCAGAGGAAAGAAGGGGGCCCCGACATCATGGCCGGACTGGGGTCATGGGTGCGTGGGGGAAGAGACCACCAAGTCTCTCGCTCCTCTCCCCCCTGGGCCACCGACAGGCTCTGCGACCCACAGGTGTCCGTGGTGAAGATAGTGGGTCACAAGCTGTCAGAGCTGAAAGGGATCCTGGGCACCTCCGGAGTCCAATGTGATCATGTTAGACAGGAGGCTCATACTTGGAGCTCGTCAGGCCCAGAGACTCAGGGGGACAAGAACCCCGGTGTCCTGACTCCGAAACCAGGCTTCTTCAAATGCTCAAATGCAGACTGAAGTGCGTCAGAGGCTGCAAGTGCACCAGGAGCCACGAAATCAGCTCCCAGGAACCCTGAATGGAATCCACGCACGCACACCAACGGGCGGTGGTAAGCGCTACCGGCTGAATGCGTGTTTCCCCTCAAGTTCACATGTTGACATCCTAACAGCCGAGGTGATGGTGTGAGGAGGTGGGGCCTTTGGGAGGCGACCAGCTCCTTAGGGTGGAGCCCCCATGAATGCATTAGCGCCCTTGTAAAAGAGACCCCACAGAGCTCCCTAGATCCTTCCGCCGCGTAGGGACACAACAAGAAGTCCGCGGCCCAGCAGACGGCCCTCGCCCGACCAGCTGGCTCCCTGGTGCTGGGCTCCCAGGCTCCGGAACTCTGAGCAAGACATTTCTGTTGTTTGTGAGCTTCCAGGCCTGTGTTTTTAAATTTTTATGTTTTATTTTTACATTTTCATAGCAGCTCCAAAAGGACTAAGACGGTAACTCACAGGCCTCCGGGTCAGGGAGGGACCCTCAAAGCTCCAGTGTCCTAGGGACGAGCATTGCTTTGCGCTCTGCCCCAATCTGCCAGCGTTACTGGAGGGCACCGTGTCCAGCTCTCTCTTTTCTGCCCCCGCCAACCCGATTCGTGGGTCAGGGTGTCCTGAAATGCTGCATAGTCCTCGTGCCCTGGCCTCAGGCAGGGTACAAAAGAATGACCCTTCGTCGCAACAGGGAGGAAGAACAACTTTCTGAGCTAAGACAGCTGGACAAATGCCTGTCAGGAGAGATGCAGGGAGGGAAGAGGGCAGGGAAGCACATGGCGGCGGCAGCCGGGACGGGAATCATGGGAGAGCAGAGGGCTGCTGTGTGGCGGGGGCTTCAGTGCTCCCGGAGTCATCCTTGCCCTCCCTCCCGTCTCCCAGTCCCCTGGCCATGAGCTTGGGGCAATGCCAGCACGTGGCTGATGGGATGTGGGCTGAAGTCTAGACGCTGCTCCCTCCCAGCTCTCCCCACTCTGCGCCTCGGTGAACTTGGGGCCACGTGTTGGGTTAAATCGCTGATACCACGGGGCTTATTTGTCACAGCAGCCAAGCCTAACCTTGGCCTGGCTTGATGCAGGGGCCCCTGACACCTGGGAGGGTGAATCAGAGGGGGCTGGGTAAGACTCAGTCAAGGTTTCCCTTCTGTATTTTTAAAAATATTTTATTTGTTTATTTTTAGAGAGAGAGAGAGAGAGAGAGAGAAACATCAATGTGCAGTTGCTGGGGGCCGTGGCCTGCAACCCAGGCATGTGCACTGACTGGGAATCGAACCTGTGATGCTTTGGTTTGCAGCCCGAGCTCAATCCACTGAGCTACACCAGCCAGGGCCCCTTCTGTATTTTAAAAAATAGTTTATTTGTTTATTTTTAGAGAGAGGGGAAGGGTGGAAGAAAGACAGGGAGAGAAACAGCCATTGGTTGCCTCTGGCACCCTTCCAACTGGGGATCTGGCCTATACCCAGGCATGTGCCCTGACTGGGAATCGAACCATCAACCTTTTGGTTTTCGGGATGACACCCAACCCACTGAGCCACACTGGTCAGGGCTCCCTTCTGTATCTTGATTCTAGTCTCACCTCCTGGGATGAACATGAGGGTGAAATGAAGGGAAGATGCCCAGCAGCTCTGACCCCCGTGGGCCAGAGGACCTCGCTGGGGCAAAGGGGCCTGGGCCCCGTTCTTCTGAGCTGCAGCGCCCCGCCCCGCTCTGGTCCATGCTACTGTGCTGGTGTGTCAGCTCAGAGTTCAAAGTTTTCAAAAAGCAAAACAGAACAAACAAAAAACGAGCCGAGACTTTGCTCAGCTGCTTCTGATGCCAGCCGCTGGCCTGGGAAAACCCTGGGTTATAAGGACAGAAAGGGGGCAGTGGGCAGGCAGGAAGCCCCATCTCAGTCCCAGGGCCCCCCGTCCTCTGTGCAGGTGGGCGACTCCCCTCCTGGGGGCTCTGATCTCCCACCTGGGGAAGAGGATGAGACTTGGGATGTCCTCTAAGGATCCTATCTTTCTGACGATTCCATTAGCTCAGAGCAGAGAGGGTTAAGATGGCTGCGTGTGGCTCAGCTCCTCCTGTCCTCCGCCCCCGCCTGCCCCCGAGGGTCTCCTCAGTGCCAGAGGCCCCTCCTCAAGGGCACCGCCAGCGGCCAAGGTGGACCCCAAAGCCCTCCTCCTCCAGCTCCCCCGGGCCTCTCTGCTCTTCGCCCTCCCCCCTCGAGGCCTGATTTCTCTGTATCTAAGGCATCCGCCCACACCAGGGCCCAGCCCTGCTATTGTTTTGGGGCTTGCATCATAAGAAAACAATCTCTAATGATGCTAAAACGTCTGGGTGACGGGCACCTTCCTTCCTGCACTCTTTGGTTTGCAAGCAAGCATGAACGGAATAAGAAACATAACCAGTGTACACGGTAAGAAATGAGGGAGAATTTTCTGGAATCTGTGCCATCCCATCCCCCACTCACCTGGCAAAGACCCGCTGCTGGTACTGTGTCCACCCCGGCTGCAGGCCGCTGGGGGTGAGGCCTCCGTCTAGGGTCAGTGTCCACTGGTGCCTCGGCTTCACCTCCTGAATTAGTTCCCGAAACACTTTCTGCCACACCTTGACGTCCTGACCTGTGACCACTGGCATGGTGAGCTGGGGCGTCGTTGGGGGGCATCAGGGTCTCCTGGCCTCTGGCGGGTCTCCAGCAGCGCAGGAGGGCTCCCACTTTAGACAGCACGGGCTCACACCCGCTCTCCTCTATGTACCCGGGTGGGGCCTGTGGACCCAGCCTTTGCCCGAAGGACAAAGTTCAACTGAGCCTGGCTCCACGTTCAGAGAACAGCAGGGCGTTCCACAGGAAAGATACGGAAGGCGTGCCTTTGTTCATCCAAACGTCACCCCAGGAACACTGCAGACCCTGGGGGGGGAGGGGGGAGGACGGATCTCAGGCTGGCTCTGCTGCTGCCTTCCCTCAGCTCAGGACACGCCTTTTGCCCCTGAGGCCCTGTGCATGGCAGAGGCCCATGTGGTTTCTCTGTCCAGTCCTCACGCTGGACATCCCTACCCACTGGGCTGCTGTGGTCACCAGCTGGGTGGAGATGTGCAAAGCAGGGCAGGCGCCGTGGGCCCTCCCCTGAGTCCTGTGTCCCTGCTCCCCGCTCCTTATGTCCCCTTTCCTCTCTCGTGTCCCGTCTCTGCAGGATGGTAATTCGCAGGCACTGAGCTGCCCGTGGCGACTCCCAAGCCCAGCCTTCCACCCATTAGAGGCGGGAGCTGGGGCAGTGCCTGCTCCCAGGTGCGACTACAAGGCCCCCTCCTGCCTGGGTGAGGGGCTGCTGGCTTCCTCCCAGAGTACTCCACCGTCTCCCACCCCCTCAAGGAGAAGCTCAAGAACCTGTTCCAGGGACACACACCCAGAGGGCGAGTGAGAAGGGGGTCATGCCCCGCTGCCGGCTGTGAGCTGAGGCCCCACCCCTCCATCTGGGATGTGGTGAGTGTGGGAGGAGGCCCCGGGATTGTAAAAGCTCTGGGAGTGGCTGCTGGAAGCCTGGTGGCGGCTGTGTTGAGTGAGTGAGACCAGGAGGCCAGGAGGCCCCTAGACAGAGGTGGCTGTCATGTTCGGGTGGCCTACGTAAGCAGACCCAGACCTAAGCCTGTCAATGCCTCAAATCCACGGAATCGAATCACTAAGGACAACAGACCACAAACAGCCAACGAGGCTGTAAGCTGCAGCCAGGCAAGAACGCCCTTCTTCGTTTCCACACTTTCTCTGTATCAGTCTCCCCCACCCCCAGCCCCCCCACCTCCCTCCTGTAGGGGGAGCTCTCCGAACCGCTTCTGGTTCGGTGCTGCAATCAATTCTTGCTCAAATGAACTCTTAAAAATGATAATATGCCTCAGTTTATTTTTTCGACTGTTCCAGTCATGTCTCTGAGTGGCCGAGGATGTTTGTACGATCTGTCTGCCCGCCTCTCATTGCGCCCTGAAGAAGTCAGTCCCAGGGAGGGAGCGACCTGCGTTCACTGGCATTTCCTTGGCCGAGCCCAGCCCTCCGATGTCAGCTGGGGGAAGGTGCCCCTTGGGCTGTGTCTGAGTCTCCGGGAAGGAGAGCGGGGGCTGCTGCCATGCACTCCCCCCACCCCACCCCCTCAGGGCCTGGCTGAGCCGGAGAGACCCCTAGATTGTTATTTTCAGGAGTTAAAGCCCGAACATGCCCACCAGGCCTGAACTCCGGCTGCCTCAGCCTCCCACCCTCGACCCCACCGAGGGCACTGGACACAGGACATCTGCTTGCTCGCCCTTCCCAGGGGTATCCAGCTTTCCTGGCCCACGGCTCTGTGCCTTTCAGGACAGGGTCTGATTTATTTGAGAGACAGACAGAGACAGACACACAGAGAGAACAACATAATTATTGTCCATTTCCACAAAACTACTCACTTCCCCACACCTAGTCACGCAAGCCCAGCCCCTTCTGGGGTGTCGCAGGGCCACTACAGAGGAGACGCGTGCGTCCCTGCAGTCGCAGAGGCATCTGGGAACTTCAAGCGCTTTCCCGCCCTGCGGGTGAGGCAGCCCTGCCTGCCTCTCCCTTAAACCTCCACGACCCCTTGGCAAGTTGGGTTAAGTCTGTGGTCCCTTGACAGAGGCGGTGGGGCGGGGGTGGGATGGGGTGCGGAGGGGTGCGGGCAGGTTGGGGGAGAGCCCTGCTCCTGGAGTCCTAGGTCCCTCGGAGCCTCCCGGGGAGGCCACGGGGAGGGGTTCAGGAGTGGAGTCTCAGTGACCAGCAGTCCTTCCTGCGCCCTCCCACCCGCCTCCTTGCACCCCTCCCTCCCGGGGCCCGCCCCCTTCCCGCCTCCTTTCTCCCACCATCCTTTCTCTCAGGCATCTGTCGTGTATGGAGGGGCTGCATCACAGCAGCCGTGCGCAGCTTTTGGGGGCGGCAGGCAGGGCAGAAAGGAAGACTGGAACCCACAGTCCTTCGGGTCAGAGACTCTGAATTATCTGTGCCAATTTTTTTTTTTTTTTACATCAATGATCTAATCCTCACTCCAACCCGGAGATATTATTACCCCCATTTTATTTTTTTAATTCTATTTTATTGCTTATGCAGTTACAGTTGTCCTGATTTTCCCCGCTTTGGCCCCCCACTCAGGGCCACCTCCTCCCTCAGGCAGTCCCCCACCATTGTTTGTGTCCATGGGCCACGCCTACATTCTTCGGCTTCTCCATCTCCTGGGCTGTGCTTTACACCCCCATGGCTGTTCTGTAAGTACCTACGGGTACTTCTTAATTCCCTCACCTCTTCACCCACTCTCCACCCCCCACCTCCCATCTGGCAACTTTCTGATAACTGACTTCTTTCTTTAAGATTCTCTATCTTTAACCTTTGGCCTTTTAATAATGACGTATCTTGGGGTGGGCCTCTCTGCATCCATCATAACTGGGACTCTCTGTGCTTCCTGGACTTGCATGTCTATTTCCTTCACCAAATTAGGGAAGTTTTCTTTCATTCTTTTTCCAAATAGATTTCCCATTTCTTGCTCTTTCTCTTCACCTTCGGGCACCCCATGAGGCGAATGTTGGACCCCTTAAATCGTCCCTGAGGCTGTTTATAGTATCCTCATTTTTAAAATTTTTTTTTTCTTCTTGTTGTTCTGCATGGTTGTTTTTTGCTTCCTTAAGTTCCAAGTCATTGATTTGATTCTTGGCTTCATCCACTGTTGTTTCCCTGTAAATTGTTCTTTACTTCAATTAGTGTAGCCTTTGTTTCCGACTGAGTCTTTTTATGCTGCTGAGCTCCTCACTAAGTTTCTTGAGCATCCTTATAACCAGCGTTTTGAACCCTGCATCTGATGGATTGCTCATCTCCATTTCATTTAGCTCCTTTTCTGGAGTTTTGATCTGTTCTTTCATTTGGGCCATGTTTCTTTGTTCCCTTGTTTTGGCAGCCTCCCTGTGTTTGTTTCTATGTATTAGGTAGAGCTGCTTTAACTCCGTGTCTTGGTAGTGTGGCCTAATGTAGTAGGTGTCCTGTAGGGTCCAGTGGCACAGCCTCCCCTGTCACCCAAGCTGGGGACTTGAGATGTGCCCTTCGTGTGGGCTGAGTACACCCTCCTCTTGTAGTTGAGCCTTGGTTGCTGTTGGAAGGTCAATGGGAGGGATTTACCCAGGCTAGTCAGCTGCAAGGACTGGCTGTGACCACTGACCACCAATCTCCACTGTCCACGGAAGATCAGTTGTGCAGGCACAGGGTGGTGATTCTCTAACGTGGTCTGTAGCTGTCCACTGGGTGTGCTGGCCCTGGGGTTTCTCAGGTGGTGCTGACCAAGGTCAGCCCCCACCTGTGCTTTGCCTGGGCCACCCTACCTTGAGCTATAAAGCAATCTGAGATGGCTGCTACTTGTGCTGGGCTTGGAGATTCCCAGGTGAAGCCAAGCTGTGACTCTAATATGGCCGCCACTAGGGGTCGCTGAAGCCAGCTGTTCCTTGTTCAATAGGATTCAGGAGCCAAGATGAGCCCTTCTTACAGAAAAGCAACTAGGGTGGGTCTGTGAGTTGGGTGGGGTAGAGCCTCTGTAGATCTCCAAGCTGGGTGACACACTGTTCCCCAGACTGACGGAGTCCCAGATATGGCACCAGCCTACTGTTGGGGGAGGGCTCAGCAAAGGGACAATGGCCTCCGCTCACCCGATGCCAGACCCTTGAGTGCCACTGGTGCCCTTCAAGCTGCCACCCCGGTGCTGGAGCTCAGAGGGAGCCAATCTGAGCAGGTGAGTCCGTGTGTGGGTCCCCCAGAGGAACTGCTTAGGGCTCTAGCAGCCTCCTCCACCAACTCAATCCCTGATGGTTTTCACAGCCAGAGTTGTGGGGACTTATCCCCCTGGCCCTGGAAGCCTGGGCTGGGGGGCCTGGTGTGGGTCTGGGACTCCTCACTCCTGAGATATCCTTCTCGAATTTCTATCCAGGTGGGTGTGGGGCCAGCCCGTTCCATGTCTGCGCCCCTCCTGCCAGTCTGGGTGGAGGTGGTTTCTTCCAGGCTGTAGATGTCGGACTTCCATCCAACTTGGTTTCTGACGTTCCTGAGTGATGGCTGTTCAATACTTCAGCAGTAATTTTGTTGTGGCTGTGCGAAGAGGTGAACCACGCCTGCCTGTGTTGCCATCTTGACCAGAAGCCTATTCCCCCCATTTTAGAGATGGGAAAACTGGGGTTCAGACGGGAGAATTAGAAAGGCTGCCCCCACAGCCCAGGCGCACTGTCGGAAGCCGGAGGCTGCCCTTCCTCTCGTGGCTGGTTTATGTCACCCTCATGCTCCAGGTGACTGTCCCTGTCTGAGGTCATGCCCCCCAGCCCCGCATCCCTTCTCCGGGCAGTCAGGAGGCAGGAAACCTGGGAGCTGCTTTCTCGCTCCCACCCGGGGAAAGGGGTCTGTCAGCGTGGCCGCAGGAGAGCCGCTGCGTGGCACGGACCGGCCCTTCCTCCCTGGTTCACGGAACCCAGACACCTGTGCCCACTCCCTCCTTCTCCCCTCGCCTTTCTGGGCCTCTTCCGGGGCTGTGACAGGCCCTGGAAGATTCAGGGGACGTTCCCCAGGAGGACTTTTCCTCTGAGCTCCTTCCTGAGTCCTTTGCACGGAGGGTGGCAGCCCTGGTCTTCCTTTCCAGAGTCCACCGTTCGACGCCGTCCACTGCCTCCCTCCCACTGCCTCCCAGGTGACGTGAGCCCGGGACGTGGACGGGAGCCCCCCTCACACACTGGCACAAAGGGGAAGCTCCTCGTGCTGTGGCC